CCCACCCGCCCAAGCCCACATCAAATCCAGCCTTGAGCGCAGGTCTCCTGCGGCCACCCCTGCCTCCGATCTTCTTTCTATTCTCAGAGCTCCTCCAGCACCTCGCCTGCAGCCACAGCATGTAGCCCTCAGTCACCTTGGTCCTGGCTGGGCTTCCGTACGTCTGAATGTCGTCTCCTTGACCAGCCGAACTTCTTTAAGAGTTTGGACCGGTTTGGGATCCCCCATAGTGCTGCACACGGAACCGCTGATACAGACAAGCTTGATAAATGACTTCCACTCACGGGGTCATTCCCAAGACAATAATAAAAGGTTCTGCAAAATACTTTCTGCATAAAGTTGTTCAGGGTAGTATATTTATACAGAATAAAAAGGTTAAAAGCAACCAAAATGTTCAAGAATCAGGCAATGGTTCAAGTATGGTACAATATGGTATGTATTAGCATTCAATATGACATTTAAAGAATAGATTTTTATTGATTTTTTATTTGTTTTTAGAGAGAGAAGGAGGAAGAAGTACAGGGAGAAACACTGATATAAGAGTGAAACAGAGATCAGCTGCCTCCGGCACGCCCCCTACCAGGGGCCAAGCCTGCAGCCCAGGCCTGTGTCCTGACCGGGAATCAAACTGGTAACCTTTCAGGGCACAGAATGATGCCCAACCAACTGAGCCACACCGGCCAGGACCAAAAATGACATTTTGAAGAATACTTTAAGGTATAAGATCAACAATTAATATTATATCGATACAAATAAGTAAACAACATGACACAACTAGGTGAACATATATACTTATATATTCAGAAATAAAAACTCACATAAATAAAACAATTATATACAGGGGTGGGCAAAAATAGGGTTTACATTTGTGAGCATGTGAAAGTTTATTCTTGTATTATTTATTTGTATTACAACTGTAAAGCTGCTTTTGCCCACCGCCATATATATTATAATTGTGTTTCTACAATGAGTGTTATCACTTATGTTCCAAAGACTTCTGCATAATAAAGCAATGGTTTACTGAGAGACGGAGAAATGAATTGATGGCTATTTAGCTCCAGCTCTATAAGGGGGAGGAGATGCTGGGTCAGAGGTCAGGGCCTTTCTTGGTGCTTTCATTTAATCCCCATAACAACCCTTAGAGGGAAACATCACCCGAGTTATTCAGACTTCTACTGATATCTCTATTTTACAGGTGACGAAGCTAAGGCTCAGAAAGCTCATGTAGCGTGCCAAGGTCCCCGGCTACCACTTGGCAGGATGAACCACATCCTTATCCCCAGGGAAGCCTGTTTTGTGTTGACAGAGATAGGCAATAAGCAAATATACAAGTGAATAAATAACGATCTTCCAGAGGAAGACAAGTACTATGCAGAGAACAAAACCCCTAAGAGAATAAAAGAGTAACTGGAAAAGCAGGTTATCTATGATGGTCCAGGAGGACCACTCTGAAGAAGTGTCACTAGAGCACAGCACTGGAGCATGGTGGGAAGGAGCAGGCAATGAGAGGATCTGGGCAAAGGGCATCCTAGGGAGTAGAAACAGCAAGTGCAAGGGCCCTGAGGCAGGAAGGAGCTTGGGGTATCTGAGCACCAGCAATGATGACTGTGATAATGACTAGTTCGGGGAGTCAGGCTGGAGCAAGATCAGAAGACTTCGTTGGCCACAGCAAGCAGCTGCAGCTTACGCCAATCGGGATGGGAAGCCCTGGGTTGGTTTTAAATAGCAAGATGCTGTAATCAGATGCGCTGGACTTGTGGATGTGTTACTTACAGGTAAAGTGCTGATGAAGGCCTCACGCCCTCTGGTGGGAATCAGACCAATTGCTCATCATGCCTGTGAAGTCATGGTCCTCCACACTGCTTTCAACAGACAGTCGGGTTTCAAAGGACCACTTCCAGGCAGGCGTACTGGGGCTCTCCGGTGATTTGCAGGTTTTCTGATTCCTGCCAGCAGACTCTAATGACCTGGGCTTTATGCTGATGACGCAGTTTGCTGAAA